TGGTATGGGATTTAGAATGTTTGAATTTCATATGTAATCGCTAACGAATTATTATTGTAAGAAATCATGGTTGCACCTTGTGCTTATTGTCGCAATGGATAGTTAGGTATAACTGGGCTAAAAGTAAGGCTCAGCTATAAAAGAGCGCTTGCATGAAACAGCATGGTCGTCCCTATAATTCGCACGTCACCAACTTGTCACCCGTTTATCAGCTGGCTGCGTCGAATGAATGTAGGGTTGATTTCTTGCTGAAGGAAATTCACGGTGAAAACGAAGATTGTCCCTTGGAGGAAATTGTATCCACCACCTCCAGATTTTAAGGCCGGCCTCTTTGCCACTGTGCCATCACTTTCCAGCATTACCGCCACGATGATTAGTTCTGTGCAGCATCTCAATGTGTTATATGAGATTTTTTTGTAAAGTAATCGAGAGATAAATGTCTTGAAGTTTATGCAATTCATTGCTAAATGAATGATGAATAATTTGAAGTAGAATGTCTCCACTGGCCTCAGCTACCTTTACACACACACATACATACATACATACATACATACATACATACATACATACATACATACAGAGCGAACCAGATGATGAACGGACTAAGTTCTGATTTTCTCAAACCTATGAGGCATGAAAGCGAAAGCTTAGCGATTGAGAGTGAAAAAACAATCAGGCGATTATTAGTATGCTGACGCTTCGGATATGAACCCAATTTTCAGCGGTACCAAAACGCTTTATTCCATCTTGGTAAGTGATTGTCGCTACCATTAACGCTTTTCAGATGTTTTAAACAAAACATCTGTTTGCTTGTTACCCCTGCTGAATGGGTTCCAGGTGACGATTTTGTAAGTCTTTTCCCGCTCTGAGTTTTCCTCAGTGACTTGGAGAACATTTATTTTATATTGACTTCATGAAATATGAATTTCAGGTTGTATACTCGGTGACTTTCGAGCACAACTAGAAATTAGAGTGCATAAAAACATGTTAAAAAGAATCTGTTGAATATCTGTTGGTACTTTTTGTAGAACTCAATTTTGTTCGTTCAACAAACAACTGTGGTAAACACGGATTTTGTTTAACGCGTTGCGAAATTTGAATTAGGATGATGACCAGCGTCTCAGCCGGATTAGTTCAGTTAGTAAAAGGGATTCTTGCAAAGCCATATATCCTCACCTGATACATAAGTGAGTATCAGTGTATAATAAGATAACATGTTTCTGTGCACAGTGATGGCTATGATGCTATAGACATTACCTTCCTAAGAAAATGAACCTCCTGACTGATGGCATAGTGGCAAATTGCCTAACAGGTTGGCCTCGACCTCAGGAAGTGTGAGATTTGATTCTCTTTGAGTGCATTTTTAGTCTGAACCATGAATTCCCTTGGACAGAGAATTTACCATTCCGCGGTTACTTCATATCTAGGTTTTTCGGTCAGCAGAGCCTCAAACTCACAACCATCCAGATTTCGAGTCCCAGTCGCTCTCATTCTTTCCGATGTTGATAAATGATTACTGCTCTGATAAGTAAGTGGGAGGAAAATAAGAGAACACAGATTATGTTTATCATATGGCTGCTGAATACTGTCTTTAAAATATAAATGTAGATTGGACCACCAAAGATTGTTTCCTTCAATAAATGGTGTCAGAATGGCTCCATCATAAAATTTTAAGGAGGCCCGACTTCCCAATGACTGCAAACTTTACTTTTTTCTTTCTTTCTATGCAGACATACGTCAGTACGGATATATGTCTTTCTCTTGCCGGTTTTTCAACAGTGCGGTTCCTGGTTTCTGATGCTTGGTTCTTTTTGAGCTTTTATTGCTCAACAAATTTAGCTACAGCTGTGAAATACAATATGAACTTTCCGCTTTGTTTTTACTCAGCGACAATGTCATAGATAATTGCAATTTCATCATTTAATCGTTTGTCTGCTGCATGAAAAATTTGCCATCGACTTCGAAGTCTAAAACTTTAACACTCCTCTTTTATCCTCTTTTCAAGATGATACCTTTTCAGGCGAGCATTGTAAAAATGGTGAAGTCAAAGTTACATGTAATAACGCTGGCAATCGGTGATGGCGCCAACGACGTTCCGATGATACAGTGCGCGGACGTGGGCATCGGCATTTCTGGCCAGGAAGGCATGCAAGCTGTGATGGCCAGCGATTATGCGATGCCACGCTTCAAGTACCTTAAGCGTCTTCTATTGGTGCATGGCCATTGGTGCTACGACCGACTAGCAAGAGTGATTCTGTACTTCTTTTATAAGAACGCCGTGAGTCGTCCGTCTACACCAGTTCATCTCACCTCATCTCAGATGTAGACTTTTTTTCAGGTCCTCAACTTCGTCATCCTCTGGTTCCAGTTTTTCTGCGGCTTTAGCGCACAGGTGATGATCGATCCGACCTACCTCCAGTTGTACAATTTAGCTTTCACGTCATTACCACCAATTGTCTTCGCGTTGCTCGATCAGGACGTGAGCGACACCGAATTGATGCGTGATCCGAAGATGTATAGGCAGGGGTCAGAAAAGCTGGTATGTCGCAGTAATTGCTACCTTTCTGTAAATTGTTAACTGGCTAATGCAATCATTTGATGTATGCTGTAACACATGTTCACATGAATGAAGTCTGTTGTAGATTTAAACGACGTTTGCTTTGAAAATCGCGTTCGTGGCGATGTTTCTGCAAAGGCTATATCACTATTCATCATATCTTATTACAATAACTGTAACGGTTCAAAAAACAACAGAGAAAAAACACACTACATCATTTGGCTCTTATCATTTTAGTATCAGATGCAGCCGCTCGCGAAAGCACCCTAACCTGAGACCATAAAGGCATGACTTTGTGTAGGCAGTTTCTTTAGTTTCACAGTTAATTATGATATCCGGAATATATGTCAATTTTGTGAATGTTTATTTTATTTTCACCGTGTACTACCGGAGACGGAGAATTTATGTCATACATTGGTATTCATGCTGAAAAGTAGCATTAAAGTTATTTATTTTGCACAAATTAAAAGGTTGTCAATCAGAAAAGCTTGCTAACAGTGTGTCAAGTGACGTAGGTGACGTTTGAAGATCCTTTAGTGGCAGTCTGGAGCTGATTGTAACATACGAAAAGACACGTTTGTTTTTCGTTGGAATATCGATCTTTTTTACACTTAAATGGCTTAAATGGTTACTTTTTGTGTCCTTCTTTTCATGAAGTTGGTGATGCGGTACTGATCTCCATTTCCATTCATCAGCCAGGGATGCCTTGTATTTTAAGGGCACGATTGACAGCAGTCATGCGACAAGCATATGGCGTAGTCTCTTGCTATGTTCCCAAGGCGATATTTATTTATCAATCTTGGAAGGAAGAAAAGCGAATGTTCATACCTCGGCTCGAATCTGGGATCTCTCGGTTCTGAGTTCGACGCTGTACAGACGAAGCGACCTCAGACTTACGATTACTTGTAGGCAACCAAGACGACTTCCAACCCTTACGTTAATTTTACCTCTAAGAACACTCGTTACACATGGGTCAAAATGTCGACGTTATTCAGTCTTCTGATTGAACACTTTCCGTGTAAAGTACAAACCGTTTTTGTTCTGTTTCCTGTAATTTCACGATATAATATTTTATCAGTGCAAAATAAGACTCTTTACACTTCGTAAATATTCTTAGAGATATTCCTGATAAGATTCTTGACATTGGATTTCAATATGAATGTGTTTGACTTAAGACAGTTCTGGCATGGTATATTGTATATCGTCAAGTGTCTTGAATCAAATGGCGTACTTTGGCTTTGACTCATTTCATAGGTAGTTTCCTAGCACCTGTTTTCTTGCGCGGCTTTAACCTCTTGACGGCTCTCCTTTTAAATGTTTTTTCCGTTGAATTACGTTTTCATGAATAAGCCGTGGCAAAATCGATAGATGGTATATGGCAATAGATTAAACTCTTGTTCTAATTCTTGGAATTTTTGCACATCAAGGACAGTTTGAAACACGTTTACTCCGCGCAGTTATTATATTTAGAAAATCTTGTTTTTGGGATCATCATCTGACCAGAGCTTAATGTTGTTTTTGTTGCTTCTGACACCAATGCTCTTATTTATGAATGTAGAAAGCTTATTACCAGCAGCCTTTTCGAAATTAGGTATTCTGATATCTGAATAAAGTACGGTATCAGTCAGAGAGTCACCCAAGCAGCCTGTCCGTTAGTCAGTCGGTCACCGGACTACTTATTGAAATAAAGTAGTAAACGATAAATAAGACAAATTGTGTAAATTTTTATAAATGTGTCGGAGCTTCACATTCACTCTTATTACTTGTTTTGCTTTGTTATTTATTACTTGATTATTATAGTTTTGAACGCGAAACTCAACATGGTTTCGTGGCGTGACGACATCATCAACTTTTTTATCTACATTGAAGGCTATTTGTTGCTGTTGTTTTGTCATCGTCATCTGAAGCTGATAGAGGTTGAACGGCAGAGTAACCCTGATTTGTGATGTATGACCGTTGCAAATGGCACTTCAGATTGAGATTGATATTGTCTAATATTCACTGTTGCGGACTGGGTCATGTTCTTCTTCTGAAGCACGTCTATCTTCATTTTACGGTTTTGTCCTCCAAGGTGTCTGTGGCTAGTGCAATGTTACGAAGCGAGAGAAAGGTTTTGAAACGGCTATTTGAGCCAGTCGTGGCTGTGTGGTATTTAAGTTATAGCCGTGCATCCACCGTAAAGCTGTGATCTTCCCTAAGTATGGCTCTAGTCTCATAGTCGTCTAACAGCGAGGGACGGTTCCGTATCACAGTGAAAATCAGTTTTTAGGTCATGCACTTATTCTTGTGAACGAACCCGTATTTGTATTGTTTTTCGTGTTATAGCCTGCTGTTTGTTTAATATTTGTGAATTTTTAGTTATATAACTGTAAAGCCTTTTGCCTGAACATTCTGGATGCCGCGTGGCAGAGTTTGGTAATATTTTACCTCGCCTATTGCGTAAGTACAGCATGTTCTATGCTTTGAAATGCTTTTGAATGTACGATCTTAATTCTTAACAATGTTTTCTCGAAGTTCGAGATCACTTGAAAGCTGCAAACAAACTTACCCCAGAATCTTGCTTTTTGACGCATATACAAACATAAATCTTTTGGAATCGTGAATCTCTACTTTTCATAACATGTAACGTTCTGAGGTTGCATGGCCTTATGCGAATAAGGTGAATGCACGTAATCACGGATAGGAGGAGATTCGAGTAGACCAAGGTGGATGGACAGAAAGGCTGAAGTTGTGTAAAGTGAAACTGGAACTAGAAACTAGAAATAAACATGGTCAACTATGTCATTACTTTCAATATAGTGGTGGTGTGTTCTGTTGCCTTTGCACAAATCTATCCTGTTTTATGTTGATATAAAGTTTATTTGAGGTGGTAGAGGACAGCGATGTTGGCCTGTGGGCGTTTG